AGCAGCGGCTGGGTACCTGCCTGGGCAAAGGCTGCGCCAGCGAAAACTGACTCGCACAGCACCTCAGGGATCCGTGGCGAAGTGATCTGGTAAAGCGACATAAAAGCAAATGCCTGTGACAGAGGCGCTTTGAACCATTACTGGGAAGTGACCCAGGAAAAGCTGGAGAAATAGGCAAAATCCGGTAACATCAAGTGCAGCGTTTACTGGAAGTGGGGCAGGGCCTTCCTTTCCTGCCTTAATCGTCTCCCATGCATAGTAAAAGTCTCTGAAGCTTCAAAGCTTAGGTCATGTGCCTAACTTTGTCATCAGTAAAGTCATCTTTGCAAACACTCATTTTGAAGGGCTACTGTCAACAAGAAGGTAAGGAAGTGTGTCAGTGGCTGCAGCGCAGCGATCTCCAGCGGTGCCGGTGCGTTAGGCCGAAGAGCTGTAGTGGGCACAAGCTCCTTGGCAGGACACCCAGGCACGCACAGGGCCGGATGCACTGGCTCTGCCTGCCCTGAGAGCCCGGAGGTAGGACAGTGGGCATATTGCTTTCCCAGCCCCTAACCTTGCTCTTTCGGAGAATGCTCACCAGAGTTCACATTCAAAATCTCTTCACAGTGTGTTTACATTGCTAATGAATGCAGCTTGCTTTGGGGTTTGGCAGGTTAAAAATCAGATGTTAAGGTAAAAATATTCCATTTCTGATCTGATGTACTATATAATGTAGTAAATTAAAGAGATTCAAAGGGTTATATGTGAATGAGATGGATCTGAATGACCTCAATTTTGCAAGCAGTTCCACGTTGCATTAAAGTAGAAGCAGTTGCAGGGATAGTCATGCAAAACAGCAATGGCCTACATAGTTAGAAAACATCTTTGTCCTATATCACAAGCCGCTAAACCACATACCACTCAGACACACTCTAAAAGAATAGGCCGTCTTAAGAGAGTGAAGTATTATCTAAATATTTTGTAATTATCTGATATGATAAGGCCCTCAAGAACAGGCAGTTTTCTGGAAATGTGGAAGGCATACCTTTGCAAACAGGACTTCTACATTACTGTGTTGACCCCTCTCTCATTTTACAGACAACTAATGCATGCATTTAATTGTATACATATAAGTATAAAGTCATGGAATGACCCAAGACACATGAAAATTATGAGGCCCTCAATTCTGGAAACATCTGTCTACTCACAGTTCCACAGTTAACTGTATTTTTGAGGCAGCTCACTGAACAAAGGGAAAGTACCAACAAGAAAACTGTGTTGTGTTAGAAAAGGAGAAAGGGGAAGAGTTGCTAAATTTCTGTGCTGTCCAGCTCTTATCCAACCTTAGCCGCAACATCATGAAAGTGAGGTGGAAGATGTTAATATTGCTCCAACTCTCACAAATTTTATAGGATTTATTAGGTGTTCAGTAGTACAGTGCTCCTAAAAAAAAAAATTAAAACAAACAAAATAACCAACCATATACAACGCCCACCCACCAATATATTGCCGTAATTAGCATGAGTCAGCTGAGATGTGAAACTGTAATGGGCTGAATTTGGACAGCGACTATTTCAAGGCACTGGACAGTAACTGAGGATTCTTAGCCTCACAGGCACTGAACACATGCCTCTCACTTGAAATTTAAGTAGCTCAGGATGCTTCTGCTTGTGGGGAAATACCAACTCCCATTGCTGGAACTAGATTATTTTTGTCCTCCTCATAAAAGATTTTAGAACACGCAGTGGTGGTTATGTTGGTACAAACTATCAACTTCTCCCTTGGTGGGGAAAACAAAAAAGATGATGGAAAAAATGATCAGGAGATATTGGAAGCAGAAATTACTATTGCAAAAGAACTGGAGTAGACAGTCATCTTAGCAAACAGTGTGAAATCATTTACACTTAAAAAAACCAAAAGCCACCCTGACAGGGTTAACACAAGGGAGATTAATTGCATAGAAAACTGTATTAAAATGGAGCTAACTCTAGCGACCATTTGTCAAAAGTACCAGAAGCAAATCAAAACTCATAAAGTGAGCTGAAGTTTTTCTCAGCTCCCACCAGGAAAAAAAACCAAGAAAAATCCCCCCTCCCTTTTTTTTTTTAAACACCTAGAAAGCCCCTGATGAGCTCATGCATATTGTAACAAATGTGGAGTGGAAAAAAAGGCCCCTAAATTCTGAAGTCATCAGCCTTCTCATCTGTAGGCATCTATGGATTAAAAAAATGGGAGAAGTGGTATGCTAAAAATAAAGTGTGTTATAAAGATAACAGGAGAAAATGGAGACAGTTTTTTTCTCTCAGGTTTAAAAGCTGTAAAGCTTTAAAAAGTCCTATATGCAAATAACACATTCACACACCTCCAAAGCTGAGATTACATCCCTCTAAGGTAGGTTGGCTGAAACTTTTCAGTTGAAGATAGCTGACCTGTTATAAAGAATACTCTTGTACAGGAAGAATTGGAGGCCTGAGAATGCCAAAAATCACACAGGTTTTCAAAGAAACTAAATCTCCTGTCTGTCCTAGGAACACGGGTGAGAACAGGTTTTCTAAGTCTCCTTAGCAGATGTGTGTTGGTAAAAACATTTCAGAGGACTCTGTAGGAGCAAAAGAGAAGTTAGAAAGATCTCTCAAATACCTGAGCAATGCAAAAGTAGAAAAATTAAAATTTTCATTTCTGTGGTAATTTTAATGGATTCTGCAAAGGTTAGATATCCCTGATTGGTTTTATTCTCACTGACTGCTCAGTTCAAGCTTTCAGTTTCAATACAACAACCTTTTTTTTTTTTAAGGTTAAGATGAGAAAGGTAGAAAAGAGCCTCTGTGAGTCATTTTAGGAGGAAAACGTACAGCCGCTGTTTGAACATATACATCACAAAAAAAGCACCTATCACCCCTTCCTCTGTGAAAGCCCCTAAAGTGCTTTCTTTCCACTATTAGCACTTGCTGCTCAGTGACAAGGAAAGCAATTAAGGTGTGTGCAGGAAGCAAAATTACTTAAATTTTATTTTTTCCCTCTAAGACATACCAAAATTTCCCTATAGCTAATGGATCACTTTTAAGAGGGTGCAAACCTAGGAAGAGAAAAAAAGTTTGAAAAAATTAGGGTGTTGCTTTCAAAGCTATAAAATCCCCACAGTTCTCTCATTATTCCTTGTACAGGAAGGCGGTGTAAGAAGTCCCTGTGAGCAGAACTGATATAGATGTTTGGTGCTGCTTAAGTGTCAAATTCTGAGAAGTGATCCCCACTTCTTGTTAGCGTACCAGGAAGTTCACCTCCGTGAGCGACAGCAGATGGCTTCCATCAGAAACTGTTATATTTCACAGAGAGGGTGGTGAGGCACTGGAACAGGTTGCCCAGAGAAGCCGTGGATGCCCCATCCCTGGATGTCTTCAAGGCCAGGCTGGATGTGGCTTTGAGCAACCTGGTCTAGTGGAAGGTGTCCCTGCCCATGGCAGGGGGGGTGGAACTAGATGATCTTTAAGGTCCCTTCCAACCCTAACCATTCTGTGATTCTATGATTCTGTCGTGTCCCCCCCCCCGCCCCGTATCAGTATCTCTTGTTTATATAAAAGCATAAGCAAGAGGCGGAAAGGTTTGTTCTCCTGAGGGAAGGCTGTGTCTGCACACACAGTGATTGCAGGCATTCAGTAAACACAAAAGGAAACTCAGTTAAGTTTTACTGATACTGGTAATTTATGAAGATGTTCCCTCCTTTCATTATATCTCATTTTCTGCATGTTTTCTTTCTTTGTGTGTGCTTTATGCTTCACCAATGCCATTCAGTTTGTCTGCTGTGCTCAGGTACTGGTTTTGGGTCCGTTAGGGCTGTGGTTATCTTCACTCTCCCTCTTCCGCTGGCCGGGGCCTCATGGTGGGCAGGTCATGACCACCAGCTCAGACAAAATGTGTCCCCCAAGTGTTGTCCTGTGATGGCTAGTCGAGTTACTATTGGCTAGTAACAGGAAAAAAATTCAAAAATCAAACACTATGCAATTTAACTTAACAGCGCATTCGAAGAAATGGATCAGTGGGTAAATTAATTTGAAAGGTGAGTGATACTCCAAGAATATATATACATCATTACTAAGGAGTAAAATAATTGAATTGGAAAACAAAAGGAGAACAAGATAATTTTAGAAATCAGGTAGTTTTGGCTGGGATTAAAACATTCAATTGTTTTATTCTTCAGAGATATCTTAACACTGTTGCAGCAGTAGGGTAGAAAAAAAGTAAGAAAGGTATCATTGGAATTAAGGAAATTTTTTAATGGTAGTAGATTATTATTACTGGCTTAGAAAGGGCAGATTTAGGCAAAGTGATCTCAGGCAGAGAAAGATCTTCAAGAAAATAATGGGAGTTCCTTTTCTTTGTACTACATTTAGGCGTATGAGGTTGTCATAATATTCAAATGTTCAGTACTTGTAGTGGTAGGATTGATAGCACTAGATCAAATATGTGTCCTCCTTGTCCATTAACTTTCCTGAAAACTTTAACAAGGTGGTGAATATCAATGTGTTTTACTACTAGCACAGAGTTATATCAGTACCATTACTCTATCATTAAAGACACTTACAGTCCTTGACAGTTCATTTGTTTGTTGTTGTTTGTTTGTTTTGTTTGTTGTTTGTTGTTTTTTGTTTGTTTTGTTTGTTTTTATAACTTGCTGTTCTTCTCTCCTAGGTGGTTGTCCTAATTATTGAAACACAGTGCAAAAATGATACTGAAGCTCTAATACACATAGCATACAATAAATTAATTACAAGGCGGATCATTGCTAAGAGGGAAATTGACTGTACCACGGGTGAATACAATTTAGGTGTTAAGTGTTGCAAGAAATGTGACCCTGGTGAGTATTATTATAAGACTCTGTTGAACAGTCATTAAGAATGGAAACCACAACATGCACAATTGCTTTCTGCTGGGATGGCTGAGTGGCATGCTGTGGTTTCCTGGATGTGATGCTTTATTCTAGCTGTATCTTTATTACAGACGTCAGACACTTCAAAAGTATTTCTTGAGCTCAAGTGCACCTAGAACTTTTCACTATACATAGTTCTCATGTAACATGCTTGTCACAAAAGAGCTAAGACTTACATATGCATCTTTGAAAGAGGTTAAAAAAGTGCAAGCACAGGCTTTTGCCTGCAAACCTCCATATATTCATGGGGTTTCCAATTTTGCATGTACAGTTTTGTTTGGTAGGTTCTCCTTCATACCTGAATTGAAGGAAAATGGAGGATAATCAGATCTGATGTATACTACATTCCTGAAGAGCATATATATGCATAAAAAAATATATCTTCTGTCCTTATTTGTAAACCAAAAAGTATTAGGGATTGAAAAGAAAGTCCGATGTAGGTCTTAGAGCTAGTGGCTTCTGTCCAAAGGTATTGCAAATCTTAATTCTTGTTTTTCTGTCTCTACAGGTTTTGTTAAAAATATTGACTGCCCAACAGATATTAGTGAACACTGTGTTCCATGTGAAAATGGAAAGGAGTACATAGAACATGCCAATGATTTGGACAAGTGTTTGAGATGCCATTCATGTGACAGCATATTTGGTATGTCTCTGGAAATAGCAACTATAGCAATGACTCTCTTTTGACGCAGGATTTGGCTGTTAAGACTCCGCAATCCCTGAATAGTGGGTAGCATGCAGATTAAAATGTTTTAGTAGTACCAGTACCTGAAAGAATTTTTGCAAAGTCATAAGTCATAAGTTTATCCCCCAGTTCCCTTTCATCAGACACAAAGTAGGAAGAACAAGCTATGTTGGTCCATTATTTTTCCTTCTATCTGCTTTTACTCAGCCAAGTCGTCCTTGCAAAGCAGACCCTATACCAACTGGTTAGAGTCAAGGAAGAAAAGCTCTCTCTTTGCCCTCCTTTTAAAAGTGGAGAGATGCTGGAAGAAGCAGGGATGTGAGAATTTCCAATAGCTTCTTTCATAGTCTTTTATATACTTAATATTATTTAAAACTGCTGGACATTGAGTGATGTATTTTATACATTCAAGATGCTGAGTGGGTTATAGGATCAAGTTATGAGACTATAAGGCATGCCCTACTGGGTCAGAGCAGCGGTCCACCTACCACAATATTGTTTTCAGTAGTGGAGGCAAGAGATGCTACATAGAGAAAACACAAAACAGTTTGCTTTCTGTGGTCTGTTCCCTGTGAGGTCTGCCAGTACTCACAGTTGTGGAAAAGGACATTAGAAGATCCATCTCTGCCTAGCCATTTTAGTATCTATTTATGAGCCTTTTGTGCATGAACCTGCTGGGGGATGCCAAGTTCCAAAAATTCACTACCTGTTGCATAAATATCCTTCATGGATTTAAAAAAAAAAAAAAATCTGTTAAACTGATGTCCTACCAGTTCCATGAGGTATCCTGTTTTTCTAGTATACTTGGTATTAGGGAATGATAGTTCTGCATTACTCATGTCCAAAATTGAGTTTGGTGAGTAGGGATATAGCTCTTAACTCCAATATGGTTTTACATAGATCAAGTGCTGGAATATCAATCTTTAGTTCTTTCTCCTTCCTGTAACAACTCCATATACATAGAAAATGTTCTTCATTCACTACTATAATAAGCATTTTTAGATGGGTAATGAAGTTGAGTACAGCAAAATATTCAGCATTTTGTACAGTGCCACAAAGGAAATTAGTTAAACTGAACGGGAAAGAAAGTGTAATGGGATGACTGGTCACCTTATCCCATGGACACAAACGTAGGTGGAGAGAAGTCAGAAGGCAACATTAAGCCAAATTACCACTGATGCTCAATAAGAACCATTCTTAGAATCATTCATGATTGATATTTTAATGAATGGCCTCGGCGCTGATTTCACAGCAGAGCTTCATCAAATTTTGAAAGCTAACATGTTTTCCCGTTACAGCAGGGCACCAAATGCGATTACTCAAAAATTCACTTCTATTCCTACATGCTTATGAAAATAGCTTTCATAGTAGGTAGATACTTGAAGTAATTTTTCATGCAGAAATAATTTTTCACAGATGGGGATATCCTCATCATATACACCAAGAATAGGAGAAAATTAATTCATTTCTTTTGCTTCTTAAGGGGGGAATATGTTAGCTAAGAGTGGAATTCCTCACTGGTGGAGGTTCCCAAGAAGAGATAAACTTTTTTTCCAGGGGCAGTAAAGAACTTGTCTCTGACATCAAGCAGGGAGATAGGTTATGTGATCTTCCAGGTTTCCTTCTGGCTTTACACTTCTGAGTGGGAAAAAGAAGCTGACAAGACCTGGCAGTACCAAATGAGTCCTCTCCTAGCGAGAGCTTTACCGTGTGACCGGCCGGCAGAGGTCTCTGCTATCTCCCTATTTCCAGTACTCCGGCAGCAGGCTCCTTCTAAAAGCTCTGGTGTTCTTACAGTTAAGCCTCACCAGTGCCAGCAGTGGTAGAGCTAAAAGCACGTGAGTCTGAGGACAAGAGCTTGTGAGCAGAGGCCTGCTTTTAAGGCCTACTTTTTCAAACTAACAAACTCTAAGAAATTTATTTTAGGTTTGGAAGTTGCAGAGAACTGTACTCCAGCACGGAACACAGAATGCATCTGTGCAAAGAACTATTTCTGCAATTCTTCTGTACCGTGCAGGCACTGTGATCCATGTACCGTGTAAGTTTATGCCTTCACCGTTCAATATGAAATTGATAATACCATACGTTACCACACTATCATCCATTCAGTTTCGACAGTGGCTAGGGCAATGTATAACCTGAGGGAAAACATGGGAGTTTTCCTTTGCACTTGGTGAGCTGACTTAGCTCTGTCAACTTAACTTGCATCCATGCAGGCTTTCCAAAGGCATGCAGAAAAACTTGTGTATGTCCACCAGGTCTGTATATACTTTAAAAAAAAAAAAAAAAAGAGTAATGAAGTATCTGAGCTTTCCTGCTGTCTTTGTGTGATCTACTTTTACACCTAGAAAATAATTTCCACACCTTTTTCCACTCCCATACCTATTAAATTCCAAACTCCAGTATCTTGATATATGAAATGTTTAGCTGATAAGAACTGGTAAAAGATTTTGATTTGCTCTGTTGATGGAGTTTACAGAGAGAAACAAATCCCATAATACTTATTTGTCATGTTTTCTACAGATGTGAAAGTGGCATAATTGAAAAACAGTGTACTCCAACTTCAGACACTGTGTGCGGAATGAAAGGTATCATTTTAAACCCCAGCATGGTCTAGCATCTGCTGTATTTTGACAGCTATTGCAACTGTACTGTTCTACACAATGGCCCATAGTGATTCCTCACAGCTGAGGGCATCATATCTACCGGCCCCTGTACTGACCTGCAGGGCATGATTACGCTTTTCCCTTGATCACTGTGAAGATGTAGGAGCTATTACTCCTTTTTAGGGGTGACTGATGATAGGTGAGACTTTAACAAAGAGGTAGCTTATACCATTAGGAGACTACAGAAAGGCTTTTATAATCTGACACGAACTTGCTTAAAATGTAGCATGTTGCTGTGTTGCATTTTGTGACTTAACTTTCATGTAATGTTTCCAATGTTCCAACAGATAAAAGTAAGCAGTTGTGGGTTTTGATACCGCTATTAGCATTATTGCTATTAACAACAGGTGGAGCAGTATTCTGTTGTAAGTAATTCCCTATTCCTTATTTCTATGACACTCTGAAGACATTCAGCTACTTACTCAGATGTATTTTATTCTTGGGGTCCAGAGGAGCAATATACTCTGTTCTGGAATTTAAAAATGCTCTTTTTTTTCAGACAAGAGAAAACGGAATGGTTGTACTAGCAAGGAGATCCAAGGTGAAGTAGTCCCCAAACCAGAGGTTTCTGATGTAAGTATTCTTGCTTAGATCACAAAAAAACTTGGCTTCATGCAAGGAATTTTGTTCCTTTGTTCATGAGGACTCTCTGGGGAGAAGTAAGTGAAACCCTATACTGTTTCCTCTGGATTTGTTGGCGTGCTTCCTAAGTTACGTGACCAGATCAAAACTTGGTACCTGTCACCACACATACTTTTAGGCAATAGCAATTGTGGGGTGATTCCCCAAGCTTACACAAGTCAAAAGAGGTCTGTCTGTCCAATCCAATTCCCTCACTCATAGAATGAGGGAATCATGGAGAAAATTAACAGAAAATTATACTGGTCGAGTGTCATGAAATATGTTTATCCTCTTATACAAGGTTGGTGTTCTAAAAAACTTCTTTCTACTCCTTTCTCTCTTGCTTCTCTTTTCAGGACAATGTTCCTCTCATATACAGAGGTAAGAGACAAGTAATTTCTCAAAACTCAGTAGAAGGAAAAAGATACAGCAAGTAAATCCTACACTAAAAAAAGGGTATTTTTGTGTAGACTTTGCACCTGCCTGCAGCTGCTATTCTAGCACAACAGTGAACACTTAAAGAAATGCCAGTTTATATGCTGCTTATTAAGGCATTTAGTGGTATCACGAAAATTTTGCCTCAGGAGGAATTTCTGCTGTATAGGAAGCAATTACTAATTTAGAGCAGGCGAATTTGTTCTGCATGTGGTACAGACACTAGGAGGCAGCAAGCTGGATTTCTAGAATCATGGATAATTATGATAATTGCATTCCCACACCCAGCAGTGGGAATGCAGAAACACAAACCTAACTTAAGTTCGAGGGCAAATCCGCAGTAGTGACACACAATAGGAAGAGAAAAAAGCACCAAAGCTGTATCACAACACAAGACTCATCCTATTCCAGGACCTATCTCAACACTTTTGAGCAAAACAGGTACATGAGGCATGATTAGACTTCAATGAAAGAGAAGGTCAGAATAAGTTACAGAGGGAACAGAGATTCTATTTCAAGATATAAATGCCAAGAGCATTAATTTTCTTTTATGCTTCTAGATGTTGACCTGAGCAGCCATATTGCTGGTATTGTGGAGGAGATGACACTCCAAGAAGTCAAGACATTTGTTCGCAATCACAAAGTACCAGAACCTGTCATAGATCAAACTGTTCGGGATTATTTTAGCGATACATCTGAACAGAAGATTAAGCTGTTTCAAGTCTGGTATCAAAGACATGGGATAAAAGGAGCCTATGGAACCCTAATAAGCAGTCTGAGAGAGTTTAAAATGTGCACTGCAGCTGATAAAATTGAGGAAAAACTGAAGGCAGCTGTTTCCAGCTGTCAGGAAGGGGGACAGTCTTACAATGATGACACTGAGCAAAGCAAAACCGGCACTTGGGAAAGAAGAAACTCTTCCAGTGATAGTCCTGAGCTAAGTAAAATCTGTTCTGGTAGTTTGGAAGAGACATAAAAGACAATAATTTGAAAATGATTTCTGACTGAATTAGTATTTTTCTAATAGTGTAAATACCAATTTTTTTAAATGCCATTTTCATGGCAGTTTGACTCAAGGAAGTTACATGAACAAAGAACAATTATAGTTTTTGTAGCAATATCTTTTCTTTAAAAAAGTTTTAGCTTTTTTTGCAGTGTTAAGAACTGGGAGGAGAAAAATTTACAGCTTATTTACTAAAAGACACAATGTAAAAGTCCAGCTCTTCAGTGGGATTCAGTACAAGAAGAAATAGTTATTATTTTAAGAAAAGGTTCAGTCTAAATATATGGTCCTACGTTACTTAATCATTGTGATGTTTTGCATTTTTCAAAGTGAAACCTCTGGTGTTAAGAGTGTATGAAGTGTGTTAGGAAGAATACTTGAACAACAACAACAACAAATACACCTAATTAATTTTTAATATAAACGTTATTGTAAATGGGATTCATCCCTTGTATAAAAGCACCTCCGCATGTGTGTATACGGAGTTTTGTATATGTGTGTCTTTGTGTGTCTATGTATGTGCAAGTTTTCTATGCAAAATCTCCCAGCACTACGTACAAATTATTATTTCCCTTATTCTTTTCAATGATTGCAAGCCTTTCCTACTATTAAAACCCTTCAAAGAAGCAGGAGCTGAAGCAGCACAGCAGAACCATAGCTTTTGGAAGGCAGCCTGCACAAGCTATGAAGTCTCCATACACAAGTGTGCAACGCGAGCTTTCCTAATGAGGGAACTGAGACAATGAAAACATCATTGTATTTAAAAAAATAGTAAATTCACATAGTGCATGACTTCTGTCTTGCTTTCTTATCATGAAACCTATAGATATAACTTTTAGGCTTTCTTTTACTCAGGTTGGTAAATCACAAAAAAATGTCCTGAAATAAAACACCTTACCTTTCTTCCATTGCAGAGAACTTGGCTTCTAAATTCCAAAGACCAGTAGCGCTGGGCTGCTTTTCAGCGAGGCCTTTCCTGCTCACGCACCCGCTTACGCAAAGTCCCACAAAACGTTTCAACAGATGAGGAGACCTCATTGGAACGGTTTGTCTTTTCCAGGTCACACAGTAACCAGGATGACTTTTTTCTTTGGCTCTGCCATCAGTTCCCTAGAGAGAATCTCCAGCTAGCATCAATGCTTAGACAAAACATGAGGAGACCTGCCTGGGCTTGCTCCCAGCTGCCAGCCGAGGTGTTGCATAGGGTCCAATTGCTGCCACCTGGCCCTGTGGAAAGGGCATGGCAGGCCTGGCAGCAGGGTGCCAGGTGCTGGCAATCGACCCCTGGGTACCCACAGCCACGTGGGGCTGCTCCAAGGGGTCACGGTGCTCAAAGTGAGCTGTCTGGGAGGGCAGTGCATAGCCCTCGGAAACAGCTAGAAATCAGTGTATGGCATTAAGCATGGTCCTGAAAGGAAAAGCAGGACTTAGATAATCTTCAAAAACTTTAAGCCTTTCATAGACTTGACCTGTAGAAGGTCTGAAGGCCACAGAGCCTGTGCTGTTGCCAAACTCAAACCCATCTTAGGTTGTACAGGTCTTCCTCAGGTCTCAAGCACCATACAGATGCTAAATAGTCAGAAAAGTCTTCCACCTTATTTTGGACCCTTTTGCCTCTAACCTTTCTGTATTTTCTAAGTATCTAAGCAATCAGCTTGCCACTGCTATGCTGCCAAAATCCACATGCTGTGCTGCTTTTCAAAGGAAAATCTTCAGGCTGCTGTAACTGGGTGGTTTTGGTAGCCGTGCACCAGACTTGTGCACCTATGGACTAATTAAGACAGCATTGTATAAATGACTTGTGTCTGTGCTATCTGTGTGCACATGTGACATGCTCGGCCCATGTTGCTCATGGCCATGGTTTGGCCAGGGTCCACATATACAGGAGAATAAAATGCCTGCCTTTCAGAAAAGCAGCACAGCAGTGGTGTAGGCTGTGCCATCTTCCCGAGGTTGCAGTTATGCAGAAGCACAGCCAAGACAGAAAAGGCAGGAAAGCTCCACGTTCTCACAATCCCTGGTAGACAGGCTGCTCCCTGTACCATGTCCCACCCAGGAAGACATAAATGTAGTTTAAAGATATGTTGGCAAGTGCTTGACTTGAACCTCAGATTTTCTTGGCTTCTGGCTTTATCTGTCTTCTGGCTACTAGAAACTAAGGTTGTCCACCTCAGTGCTTCAGTGGGTCGGTTAGTATAACTGATCTGAACAAGGCAGATCTTAAAATGGAGGCACCAAGCCTCCTGAATTTGTGGCAGTAAAATAGAATGAGAAATTTTTCTTTCATCACACCGGAATTCCCCAACCTCAGTATAATGAGGATGGTTAAAAAAAAAAAAAGTCCCTGAACAATGAGTCATATTCTCCTTAGGAGATGTCTGCAAGGCTGAATCCAGACTGCCATTAACTCTAGTGGTTAGCATACACCATTATTTGTTTTTCTTAACTGGAACACTGTGCATGAAATAAGAGAATTGGTTACATTGTGCAGTTGGTTTTCCAAAGGAGTGCATATGGGCCTACACTGTAGTCAGCAGTGTAGCGTACAGCTATCTGATCAAGCTTAAAGTACCTGGACCAGGAACTGAAAGTGATTTAGTTCTGCCAACCCACCATAACACACCCAGCTTCCCATTGCATCCTGCTTCTGGACTCACTTTCAAACGAGGGCTGCACAAGAAAATCGTACCAAGCAGGTTACAGCAGCACTGTTTCACCTTCTGCGCTCACATTTCGTTCTTTGGAGGACAGTCCACGCAGAGTCTCGTGCTGATAAGCACAACTGCCACCACCGTAGCTGCTTGCTGAAACACAGTTCTGGTATCTTTATGCTCTGCATGTTGCACACTTGCCATGACCACCCTCCTTCACACAAATGGCAAAGCTGTGTTGTGAGCAGTGTAAAATAACTCTTTTCTCAGCTTCAGGCAGGGGAAAAAAAAATGAAAAAGAAAAAATGAAAGCAATAGAAATTACTTTGAAAACGAAACTCTCTTGTTTTATGGAAACCCAGAAAAGCAAGTGGAAAATGAAACAGAAACTTGCCTGGGGAATGACTTGGCACATTTTGAAAAGCAGATTACAAAGGGGAAGCTCCCTCTTCAGGAAAGCAAAACTTTGCAAAACACTTGCATTTATTATTTAAATAGTAAACCAGAACAATTCTTATTTAAAAATAACAACAATAGAAGAACTGGAACATAGATGAAAGACCATAAGGTTGACCTTACTTCAGTCCCCTGCAAATCAAAAGTCACCACACAAGCAGGGGTCTGCTCAGAAAGTCCATGGTCTGTTTTGCTGTGCCACCCACACCACAGCCACACTGCAAAATGTAGAACAGCTCCTGCTGCCCTGCAAGCAAACCAAACACCTGCAAGAAGACAGAAGCAACATCACGATTACAGTGTGGCACAAGAAGAAAGCAGGAGACAATCAAGATCACTCCAGTACACAGAATTGCTGCAATGTGAAATAAATTATTTTTAAAGCTATCCTGCAGGCTGCCAGTTCTTGAAAAGACATGGCTGAGCAATGAAGTGCTGAGTACAAAGAGTCTGAAGTGTTTCTGCACACATAGCATGACAAGCATATTAAAGTGTGAGAGAGCCACAGGCTTATTTCCTGTATTGGAGGAGAGGAAAGGAAAACAATACAAATTCGTGAGAAGAATAAAACTGTATTAGAAAAAGATTTGGGAGTCAGACAGTTTTCTTGCTTTGAGGGAAGATACAACCTCAAAACTCACATTCCTCTCTTACTGTTTGTCAATACTTTGATTTTGGACTTGAAAGAGAAGCTCGCATTCTTGCTGTCCCACTGCTAGCAAGAAGAAAAATGCCCACCATGTGTATCTAGCCTCTAGTACGGAGCTGCGGTTGAGAATTATGAGGGATGTGGGAACAATCACAAAACTTAACATACAGTCAGTGTTTTCTGGATAGTTTTTCAGTGGTTTAGTTCAAGTTCCTTTCCAAACTGAAAGCAAGATTTTAAGGCAGTCCGAGTGCTAGAGGGCCCTTTCCCGTGGGTTTACACAAAGATCTCTCGCACCCCCAGTAAACCAGCAACTGTGATGAAGTGCTGTTTTCATAGCAGGCAACTTAGCAGATATCACCAAAAAATGTCCGTGACTGCAGCGATACTGAAAAGAAGGTCTTGAACATAGGCAGGGGAGGAGTTTGTGATGGAAAGCAATGGCAGGAGAGCCAAAAGGGCAGTCCTTGGAGGGACAGCACTCAGCCTCCTGTGCCCCAGGGCATGCAGCACACAGAGGTCACTGACCCTGCCACCCTTCTTCCTGCAGTGGTGTCCCTGCAACTGACCACCCACAGGAGAGGATAAACACACCGGTGCCTGTGTCACTGGTATGTGAAGAAGAAATTATGAGGCAGAAGCAGCCAGTTTCACTGCCTGCATATTTATTCCTACAGTCACTAATGGGATTGATACATTTTCCAGATTATCGGTATCTGAAGATTTACGTTCTCTTTCTTGGTCTTTTCATGGTCCTTCCTTCATACCGTATGAAGATCCCTCTCCAGACACGTCTCTGGGCTAGCTGAAGCTGCAGGGAACATTTACAACACTGCTTAAATCGGCCTCCGGCAGGCCAGCCCTCATCCCTGCTGGGGCTGGCTGTGCCCTGGCACCTCCCGCTTCAGGGTGGGGACCCCAGTGCCACTGCAGTGCGCGGGGGAGAGCCACCACCGGGGCTGGTCTCAAAGGGCCTTGCGTTCCAGGTCTGTCTCTCTACCTCTTCCTGTGCTTGGGGGACAGGGGAGCAACTAAGTGTATGCCAGACAGTGCTTCCTCATTCCCTCATATCCAAGAATGGACAGTGGTCAGTAAGTAGTTGAGTATTTTTGAACCTCTGGATTAAATCCCTTCCGATTTAAACCACTTTAAACAACGATTTAAACTCCTTTAAACTCCTTTCAACAACGACGCTGGGGGTGGTTGGTTCCGGGGGC